GCGTGCTCAGGATTGGAGGAATAGAAATAATACTAACGGAAGGGTTGGGATAAAAAGGAGGAGGAGGAGGAGGTAGGTGGAAGTAGGAAGGAAAAGGGAAGGGAAGGAAAAGTGGAACGACGACACGAGAAGTTTTTACAGAGAATTATAATATGCTATATTATTATTATTATTATTATCATACTTCTTTTTTTCTTTTTTCGCACTCATTGTCAGCAACGACCAGGAGGATGAAAGATGATTTCATTTATCTCTATTAAAGTATGTTTATATATTGCACATAGATAAAATATTATATATATAAACATATAAGCTTGGTGGGGATTGTAATATAGCTGAGTACATGTATACTAACTGGTACTATTGTTTGATTTATTCAAGACTGAATTTGTCTAAAGGGAGATTTATAAAAGAGGATAGGGATTAAACTAAAAACACGCGATGGCTTTTTGTTTAAAAAATGGTACATCTTACTCTAATCTATGCAAACGTTCTATCCATTTTTCTCATAATCACACACACGCACACACGCGTATTATCTTTTTAAGTAAACATCGAATTTTTATTTTCTTCTATATATTACTATTTATAATACTATTACTATTATATATATATTCATATTAAAAAAAAAAAAAAGAAAGATTAAATAAATGTCTTCTTGGTTAAAAATAAAAACTTAACAACCCACCCCCTCTTATATATATATAAATTTTCTAAACGATATATAATACGTGTAGTTTAGAAATTATTCTTAGCAAAGCATCGAATATCAAATAAAAAATATAATCGTGGATAATAGATAAGCCAAAAAATGTCATGAGATCATGGACAACATTAATTCGCGATCTTTATCGAGTTTCACGAATGTTACTTCACCGTAAGGTTCTCGGATGGACTTCGAAAACTTGTGCGATCAACCGTGAGATTGTTCCTCGTCCCTGTTACTATTCTCTGCGATTCGTGTTCACTAATACCCCTACACAGAGAAACGTATTACACACACACGTATATATATATATATGTGCATGCACCTTTGTTAAAACGTACGCGAGCGAACTATCGTTCGTTAAACTTCCCCCGACACGACGTACCCTCTCTCCCCTCCACCCCTCCATTCCCCTAAAATCCACTATCCCAGACCCTCACAAACGTAATTCCATTTAAGACGATACTTTGAACTAGAAATCCTAGGGAAGTATCTTAATAATAAAATCCATACGAGAGATAAATATACAAACAAAGTATATTACTATAATTACACATTCTAATTGAAAAATAATTCTTTCTTAACCCCTTTTCCTACCCTCCTCACGCGAATATATATATTTTTGTCATAATTCAAATAGTATGTAATTATTAATTTGAATAATTTACTCCCTCGATATTTAAATTGATTCTTATATTTTATTGAAAATTTTCAAATTTTTCATATTCAAGAACATTTAAGGGATGACAAATTTTAAAATGAATTCTTTGTACATGTATATGTATATTTACACATACACACACACACACATAAACATATTGATATATATACAGAAAGATGGAGATTTTTCTTCGATAGGTACAAATCCAATATCTTTCGAAAGATGCCAAACGAATCTTCGATGTTTTTTAGTTCGCGGCTGGCATAAATCTCTCTTTGGCTGTACGACGATCAGAATTCTCATGCATAAAAGCGCATGAGAGTGAGCAAGCAATCCATGCGAGTCGCGTTTCTTGCTTTCTTGCTGGTGCATATTCGATCTTTCTTCCTCTCTTTCTTTATTTCTATCTTTCTATCTTTCTTTCTCATTCCTTATTTCCTTCCCCTTTCACATAACTTTTATTCGCGAGCATCTTCCTTTGCCACGACAGACATATCCTCCTACGTTTGCCTGGCTGGCGAGTCCTTTCGTTTTAACATTACAACTTCAATCAGTTCTGGTCTTCATCCACTCGCTGATTCCACCATATGTGCCACTTTTTCTCTACCACTTTCCTATTACATACTGGACGTTTCACAATATCTAAGTATCTAATGAAGTATTATTATAATACATGTATTGTGTGTTGTTAATTGAAAATTTGAAACAAAGTTTGACAAGCTTACATATTAAATCTTTATTATTTTCCTATATATTTTCTTATTAATATACTTCTATTTATTTAAATCTGTCTGTACTTTTCTCTTTTTTTTTATTAAGTAATGACATTTTTTTGTTTTTTTGTTTTAATTAAAAGAGTCTGCCACCGATATACGCGAGATTAATTTAATTAAAATACTGACCACTTAATGTGACTATATTTTTAAACAAATTCATTAATATATAATAATTTCGCGTTTAGTAAAATAATTCAATCTCTTACTGATTAGAAATTAAATGATAAAAATGATGGTTACTTTAATCTAACATAAATCTTATGAAACATCCTGTACTTTTATCTCTCCCTCTCTTGTTTTCTATCTCTTTTTCTCTCAGTTACATCGAAATCACCGGAAGAAATTCGAAAGAACATCCGACTTGTTCTCTCTTCCCCCAGATCGTTTTTAATTTCTTATTCGAGTCCGATCGTCGTTCTCATTTCTAGCGACGTCCTCCTATTCTCATCTTATCAATAGTACTATACAATTTTCTTTCTTTTTACTTCGACATGTATTATTATTATTATTATTATTATTACTATGTGTAATACTGCATATAGTTTTATTCATTTCCATCTCGAATAATTTTTATTTATCTTTTGCATTTAAATTACCGAACGCGACTTGATCTCATTTTAAAAATTATATTTTACCCCAAACAAACAATATCATAAATCTAAAAATATGTTAAGGAAAGAAAGAGAAAAACAAAAAAAGAAAAGAATAAACTAAAAATTAATTGATTTAATTAGCAATCAAATATCATCTATACTCACAGGCAAAAGTTATTAAACATTTTCATCTTTTTCCGATGAGAATATTACTTTTTTTTCTAAATTTACTAACCATTACTCTACGAAAAGCATCAAATAGTAAAGAGAGAAGAAGACTTTTTTTCACAAGCTTCATTTTTCCCATTAAAAATTTATGTTTTGACGAGAAAAATAACTCGAATTATCATAAATGTTAGTTAATGACTTTTGATTTAACATAAGATATATATCACACATTATGATAATAAAGGTTTGCTCTAATCTAATATAATATTTAGAAAGATAACGTATGTAATATTAATATCGTTTTGGAAAGCAATTGAGGGTTAAAGAAAAATGTAGAGACGTATTCGATGACGATCGGAATAACATAATCTGAAAAGAAAACGAAGAGAAGAGAAGAGAAGAGGAGATAAAAGAAAATAAGGGACAAAGTTGAAGTATAATTTGAGAAAAAAAAAAAAAAGAAAAAAGAAAAAAAAACGTATACCGAAAGAGAGAAGAAGAGAAACGTCGTGAATTGTTAGTTTGAAATATGTATGTTTGGCCTGTGGATATTATGAAAAATTCAAGAGCGATTCCTAGCTTCTCATGTAATATTACTATCAACCGAGCTATCTCGAGCTTGCGGCAAGTTAAAGCTCGAATCTACGTGACCAACCACGTTTCTACCGAGATAGACACATACATACATACATACATACATACATGCATTCATCTACTTTTACCTTCTTAACGTTTGAATTATATTCGCAAGACTTATCGTGGTCGTTGCGTTATCATCCCTAACTGGACATTACTTTTAAGATATCTAATATATATTATTTCTGACAAAACCCATTCAAAATTCATCGAGTATTTAATCGAATATTATTCTTCAACAACAACAACACTATATTCACATTTTCCAAACTAAATTCACGAGAGAGAGATTACATTTTTGTTCCGATATTAATTCGTTATAATTTTTTATTTTCTTATTAAATTTTATAATTGTATAAGTAATAATTATTCGAAGATTTGTGAAATAATCTAATAAAATAGATTGATATCGTTCAAATGAAATATCCTCAAAAATGAGAGGGAGAAAGAGAGAGAGAGAATTAACATATTTAAATATTATATATTAAGTGAAATCGATATTTAATAATTCCTTTCTCTTATCTTCGAAATCACGAAATATCGAATGAACATATACACGCATACGTACATACATTCACACACACACGTGCATATATACCTACGTATTTCATACATATATATCCAGATTAATTTCAATGGGAACGTTATGGCTGCTCGTTGGCCATACAATTTCGGACTAATTCCAACTTCAATCATCCTTTTGAATGATCACTAAATAGTTCCTTTGGCCTTTTATGATATAAAGCATTTTCCAGAAAGTAGAATCGTGATACGATAAGAAGACGAAAAAAGGAACGGATACAATTCCAAGTTCGTTCCGTGTAAGACTAACTCTAGTATCTGAAAAAAAAAAGAGAAAAAAAGAAGAAAAAAAAAGAATCCGCAAAAAAGCTACCATTCTTCTTACATTCAACCAACATCCCCCATCAATTTTAGTTCGGTTTGTTCGTCGACATGTTGACGTGATTAAAAATTATGAGAAAAATTTATGAAAGTTCGGGTCAACGTACTATTCATTCTTCAACTTTCTTTCTTTCTTACTCTCTTATTTCATTCTTCATTTTCTTTGTCTTTTTTTTTCTTTTCTTCCTTTTTTTAACACCTAAACCTACCACAAACACACTCGGTTAAAATAATCGATTTTTCATTTTCAATTAGTACGTTCTCCGTCGTATTGATTTTTCATGATTTCTCGTTTAAGCCACGCGAATCTTATACGTCCCACTTTATACATAGTTGTATATACATTTCTAATGATTTATACAAAATTGAAAGTAAAATAAGAGAAAAATTCTAACATTAAGATAATTATAATTATAATTATAAGTATTTTCTTTATATTTATTATTTTTAATATGTTCGTTAATTAATTGATTTATTATTATCATACGTATTTAATTTGAATTCGACATAACTTATGTTAAAAACCAATCATTTAACGTTAAAGAAAATAATGATAATTATGTTTCAGATTTCTTCGTATGATTATCTATTTCCTTCTCGGCAGCTTGAAAAATCTCATCTTTGTTCTTTTCATTCGCATCAATCACCGCGGTTACCGTCTTGTTTGGTTCGATAACAGAAGAAATCGTGTCGATGTAGGAATTAATTTGCCCTGAAAGCTTCGACGAATTTTGATCATTCTTAGCCGTTCCATTTTTCGCCCTTTCAACTAGGACGTCCCTTTTGACTTGCAAATGGAGCACCAACGTCGGCTGTTTCACTTCTTCGTTGAACATCGTCGCCTGCCGTCAAACGATGGGATATTGTTCGATGCTATGAATATTCCGCGTTATTCTCTCTTTTAAAACGATTCTTTTTCGAACATTGACAAATATTTTTTATCTTCTCACGAATGCATTGTGCACGTGTGAACAATGAAAAAGTTATGGGAGAGAGGGAAAGATAAACTACACATTTTATTTATTTTCAATCAATATTTTTATAAATATTTTTCATCAGTATATTATTATTAATCGTTTTAACGTCACGCAATGCGATCGCTTATTGTGCTGAAAAATGCAAGAATAGAAAGATAGAAAGTTTACTTGTCCCTCGTCTCGAGGAAAACCAACAATAAGAAATCCCATGGCATTAGGCTGACTCATCATCTGTTCTTCGACCATAGGAACAACGTCACTCGCTGGAACGTTTTGCCCTTCTTTCATGATACTCTCAAATTTCTGACCTTTTTCCGTACCATTTTCGATTTCCTGCTTCAGCAAATCCCTTGTCGAAATCATGAAGAAACCATATTTTGCGGATAGTCTTCTACCCAAGTCGCGTTTACCAACGCCTGGTGCACCGATTACGAAGATTATAGGTACGGAATATTGTTTCGGTTGTTCCATGTTTCTTATATTGTTTTCTGGAAATTCCATGCTTTTTCTTCTACCCAAACACATACCCATAACCACATCCGCGTGTTTTGCAATATCATAGAATTATCTCCTATTCTCGAAGTTATCCTATAACGCGTAATCGCAGGAAAATATATAAAGAAAATAAAATTACAATATTATTGAGATAAAAGTAACGAATTCGCGTTGCAAGAAATATTTGATAATAGGTTATAATAAAATCCCTAAGAAAGTATATACAACGACAATTTCACGCTAATCAATTGATTTACTTGTCACAATCGCAATAAAAATGACAATTAGATATATTTTACATAGAACAATAACAAAATAAAAGATACAATAAATTAGTTCGGCATATTGATACTACTGATTAAAATTTCACGTCAGATAGATTCTAACAAAATGAATTTAAATCGTTCACAAATTATTATCTTACGATTGATAAATAGAAAAAGAAATAAATATTGTTGCCTGCAATGCTTTCATGATACCCCAAACGAGACTGTCAGAGTTAAAGAAGTGGTTCAAGGAATGTGTTAAAGAGGCAAAGAGATAAATCGTCTTGCTGTTCGTTACTATCTTCCCTACCTATTCTGCTAGTCAGACTTTAATGCATGTATGCATGCATTCATGTATGCATATACATATGTATGTATAGATGTGTGCGAAATAGAAAGAAAGAGAGAAAGAGAAGATATATCTTTGCATTATCATGCTGAACAAGATCGTTCACGGCTTCTAACAGGAATCCCGATAAGTTTACGTGTCAGTTCTACGTTCGACGTGATCATCCTATTTATTTTTTAATCCCCTCTCTCTCTATCTCTACCCTCCCCATTTCAGCTCCCTCCCATTGTATACGTAACTTCTTGAAAAAGTGTTCCGATAAAAAATAAACAAAACGGTATGAAAATAATATGAGATACGAGGAGATTAATGCACTTTGGTACAGCTGTTTCGTAAACTTGTTCGTATTCATCGTTGAATCTCTAGGATATGGGAAAGAGAATGGGAAGTGAAGGGAAGTACAGTATATACTTATGCAAATTTATATACTAGAGAAACTTTCTAAGGGTAAAAAAAAGAAGCACTATCCCCTTATAAAGTGTTACCTCTCCTTTTCCCCCATTGTTCTTGCAAATTTATAGAAACAAATATGTTCTGCTCTACTTTATCGGACTGCTGGTACCTTCATTTGTCCATTGTGAAACGTCCCGTGGTATTGCTCATTATAGAAGAGAGAGAGAGAGAGAGAGAGAGAGACTACAATGTAGAATATAGAATTGGTAAGATAAATCTGCGATACAACTTGCGTAAACATCAACCGACGCACGTATTACTATAAAATAGAATCGTCCAATTTATAACGTAAATTGCCCCTTTTTTTTCGTTAGCTCTACAAACATCCGAACGATCTTTCCATCGTTCAAAACTCGCTTTTTCTAAATTGTTTTACTTTTTATGCTATTGCTTTATTTTTCCTTTTTTTTTTTCTTACTATTACAGAAACGAATATTTCTATTATATCTCGAGAGAAAAGTAATTCGAAAGACTTTTTTTTTCATCGGAATAACATAAAATATTGATTCCTGTGTAAAAGATCGTCTTCATGTATTACTGCACATCAAATATTTAAGGATTATTTTTTTTGTTTACTATTCTAATAGGAAAAGAACTTGGATAAAAGAAAGGTACATAGAACTATGCACAAAGAGATATCGGTTAGTTTCCGTATACCCCCCACCCCCATCCCCCTATCCACCCATCTCTCTTTCTATGTCCATCTCTTTCTCTTTCTCTCTCTTTCCCTCTTTCTCTTTATTCTGCGCTAAGATATTTAATTGATGTAGGTGCCGAAAGCCGGCCTAGGACTTTCCCACGGGACGTCGGGAATGCGACCACCGGATGGAATTCTCCGGACACCTAACAGGATCGCTTGCGGTTGGCGCGGGAATCATTGGTGAATATCGGCATTCGAGTACCTGCCACCAAACGTGATCCCCTTACTCTAAGGTCCTCTAAGGTCCTCGAACCTCCGCCGCCATTGCTGAGAAACTCTACCTATCCTAACAGGCTACTACGATCTTTCAAAATTCAATTGGAACTTCTCTAAGCGTCCCATACATCCAACACTCTGATTCGTCCAAGTGAATGGTATACTCTATTTCGAATAAGGAATTCAAATTTCTCTAATATTCTAATATAAATTTCAATCGTTTGTATTCGACAGGAATACAGAATACTTGTCAGGATCTTTTTACATACTTTGCCTAAATGGCATTTGTCATTCTATAGAATTCCAATGTATTATATACAATGTCTAGGTATTCTATAGAATGCTAGCTTTTCATACACATTGTCGGTAACATATAATATATATATTAAGGATTGATATTAATTGATTCCACTTTACATAAAATCGTTTACGATAACGAAATTAATTCTAATTGGATTACTGTTTTAATAATAAGTAAATATAATATAATATATTGTACATATTTTGTTTAGACATGGAAGATTTTTTCGAATACTTCTACACGTTCCATTATAATATAATCAATATGTATTTGAACAAGAAGGACACTGAGGAGAATAGAGTTCGAGCAATCGAGATTTGCGGTTTTCTGATAGTAGTACTACATATACGAGTGCTTCCACAAGGTCCATTAAAATAAATGGCATGCCGCGACGTTAATAATAGCCAGGCCAATTACAATGGCGGCAGCATTCGGTCCTTTCCGGGGACCACTTTTCTCTCTCACACACACACACACACACGCACACTATGTTCTAGTAACGACGGACTTTCAATTAGCCTACAGGCACCCTTTCACCGAGCTTTGTTTCCCTGTTGGTTTCTCGCTTTTTCTTTTTCTCTCACACACACATATATATATATATATACACATAAATACATTCTCTCACTCTCCTACTTTCTTCTTCCGTTTACCACTCTCTTAACTTGCAATCGGCGTAATCGGTCTTCAGGAAAAGTCATTACGAGAGTAGTCCCACTGCAAATTTGCAATCGGATTCGTTCTCGGCAAAGTTCAACGGCTAAGTAATACCCCCACTATCCTCTTCTTCCTTCCTTCCTCTTTTCGCGTATCATCCTTCCCTCCAACCTACCTCATCCCCTTAGACAACCCGTTTTGAAATTCACTATTAAAAAGAACCATCCTCCCACCCCCATTTCGCGAACGATTTCCATATTTTCGTTTACGTTTCTATTTTATTCTATTCTATTCTTTCTTTTTATTTTCGTTCTTCAAACGAACAAGAAAATTCGGCCAGTTTTCAGTAGAATTAGAAATTAAACTTAATTTGATTTATTAAACGCGTAATATGATTTAAGATACAAATCTTACGAATCTGCTATTCTTTACACGTTTTTTTCTCTATCATTATAATGCAACGTCATTCTCTATAAACTAACAATCAATCTTCAAGAAGAAAGAGAGAGAGAGAGAGAGAGAAAGAGAGTTCTATTTCCTAACAGGCAAGTTTTCATGGGAATATATTAATCATCCTGGTAATGTAATTTCAACCTAACAAATACTTAAGTTCTATTTTTCGATCCTACTCAATTTTTCTATCGTTTTCTTACAATCTTTTATATATTAACCAAATCGAAATGAACTGGTAATATTTGACTCTCTAAGAAAAAAGAAAAGAACATATAAAGAAGAAGAAGAAAAGATCCATTTCCTTATCGACGCTTAAGGTCCATCGATCAAACTCGAAACTCTCGTCGCGAGTAATCTTTTCCCACAACGACGACACTCGATTTATATTCCTCTCTCATCACATTGTCAAAGTAGAAATTCTAAATCTACGTAGTAGAGTAGTGCTCAAAATAAACAAGACGTTGTCTAAATATGCTAAAAGATTCTACTCTCTTCTCTTTCTTTTCTTTTTCTCCTTAACCATAAAATCATTTATTATATTATACTCTACTAAATCAAACAATGTGATATTGTACGGGGAAAAAAAAGGAAAAATAATATTAACACGTTCCGTCCCGCGTAACCCGTACTTGGGTGACGGGCATGATTCCGTGGGGCCCGCGTAACCCATATGTGGGTTACGCTTTTCTTGTTTAAGTTAAATATGATTTTCTGCTGTATTTTGAAAACAAATTTATTGGAACAAGTTCTGAAGTGTAAATATAGAATATACAACATGAAAATTTAAAAAATACACAAATAACACTCTATTTTGTATTAATTTATATAGGATAAAATATTACATTATACTATGTCGTATAATATTCATTGAAACAGTCCAAGCCCATTTGTGGCGATTTTGGGCAATTCAAACAATAAGTTGTCGTTTTTTTAAGGTTTTCTTTTGCTTTTTGGCGTCCTACGTTTTTCCTCTTTTTTTGGTAACACAGTACACACATCATTCTTACAAGCTTGCCCTGCTGATTCTTGCGAATCTCCAAGAAGTGAGACAGATTCCTTCTTCCGTGTCTATTAGTGTTGAGCACAGTATTTTTTAAAGACAACTATTTTGTGACAAAAAATTCACAAAATTTTCTTACTTTTATTTTTTTTTGTGTAGCTCTCTGATAATCTATATGTGCGTTTACGATCGCTGTCCCTAAAAGTAAATATATTGCCCATTTGCGATACTATTTGATGCTTTTTTGTATGACTGTTGCATATGACAACATCTGGTAGCTTCTGTCAAAGCCACTTTTACCAATATTGTACTCTATTATCGCCAAAATATTCATTTTCGAAGGACAACCGCGATTTGTAGAATCAGAGCTTTGAGTCATGATAAAAGGATGTTTTGTAGATAAGCGATAAGCGTTTAAATATCTAAAATAAACTTATATATAAGATTATTTCGGAACAAAATAATTTATAAATTTCATAGGTCGATAGTAATTTATATAAAGATAATCGACAATGCACGGACCTACTAGACTTATTGTTTATATTCCCGCATATCTCTCCGCTATCGTTCTAGCGCGCCGACAGTAAAACTTGGGCCGGCAGGAAACTCAACGAAATCACGCTTGATACGGAACGTGTTAA